TACTAATTCATTATATAGAATAATAATAAAACAACTGTGTCCACATCATTTTGATCAGTGGACCAATCCACACATAACACTGTGCACTCTATTTATTGTGCCACCATCTCAATAAAACTGTTAACAAAATGGTAAATTATTAGATAAACAATAGTGTGTAATCACGATGTTGTATTTGCTTTTTAAAGGTGGGGTAGGTAAGTTTGAGAAACTGGCTCGAGATACACTTTTTGTAATATTCCATGGAATGCTCTGAACATCCCGATAGCAATGAATATCTTAAATCTCTTAAGCCCCAAGCCTGTTTTTCAGGTTTCAGGCTCTAAAATGACATTCCCAGAACGAATGACCATATCTTCCCTTCTAAAAGGGTTAAATGAATAATCTTTTTCTCAAAGTAATGATAAACCTGTGAGTTGGATGTAGAAAAGTCAGAATCAATATAGATGTTTTTTATTTTAAAGAAAATTCAGATTGAACATGGTAAAAAAACTGTAAATTATTGTGTCCGTCCAAAAGATATGTTGTACTTATAGTGAAAACTAACCTTGGATAATGGGTTAGTAGACTAAAAGCTTTAGGAATCCAAAGTACAACACATAAGTACCCTGTATCAAGATTGATGCAAAACAAGTGATATTTGACCTTTTTAGACAGATTTAGCAAAAAAAAACCTCTTCTGGGGCCATTTGGGTGGATTTTCCTTATCTCTGGCCCCCCTTCTTCGATTTTGACATGTGACATCTCTTTCTGACATTTAGAGCCAATAGAATCGAAGGGAAATCGTCCCACACACACTCATGTTAAAAAAAAGATGGCGTCTTCGCGCATTCTATCTATCTACAGAGTTTAGGAATGGCCTGCTCTACTATTTGAAAACGGAATTGCAGTTTTATTGCTTATAGATTATCAGAACATTTCAAAGGGGACACAGACACATTGTATATTAACCTATGGATTAACTACATCATCTTTGTTATCGTTTTAATGCCATTGAAGACCAGTTTTGACCAGACAAAATCAAGGTAAGCCATGTTAGCGTTGTGGGCTACCTAGTGCCACATGTTTTGATGTACGTTTTTGTTGATAACGTTGCGAGTTTGTATCTTTCAGTGTTGAGGTGGGCACCGTTAGATTCTGTGTCTTTACGATCATAAACGATGTGTTGGATGTGCAGCTAGGATAAGTAATAAGGGAGCTAGGAGTGATTTTCGGTGCAGTAATAGGTTAGCATTTTTCGCTCAGGGTTAATTCAGAGGCTGACTGTTAGCATTGTGTGTATTTTTTTTAAATAAAAATGAAAAAGATCAGTTAAATTAGTTATGGATATAAACTATTCATAGTTTATTCAATATTAAGGTTCCTTAGACGTTGTTTCCTGCAAATAACGTGATTTCGGACCCGGAAGCGGGTACGTGGGGCTTAAGAGGTTTTAAACAACATCGTTATGGGGAAATGCAAGTTTGCATCCAAATGGTTGGAAGATAAGGAGCGGAGGAAGGATAATCAATACTGTATGTAGTCAATGTGAGGTAAAGTGTGTCAATAATGTAACCAGTTAAAACTCAAAGTGGCGATGAGGTCTTAAAATGTATGGAAAGGGTCTTAAAAAAGGTCTTAAAAGGTATTGACTTCAGGATTCCTGCATATATACCCTGTCATACGGTTTGTGATGCAGAAAGTATTTGACTATTTCCTACAGATATACAGAATATAAAACTAGTAATGTGGGATATTATAGGGACAGATATTCTACATTTTTCACATTGTGGATAATTCCATAAATGCACTCGTACAGTTGTATAATTAAACTTTAAGCATACATTTGTTGGCAGCTCATGCCGAGTGAAAAGAATTCTGTCACTTCCCAGATAGTCACGTTTCTTACAGCTCTGCTTTTAGTTTCAAATCATGAGCGGAAGTATAAATAGAAGAACTGTTAGTGAACGGCAGAGCAAGTAGTGTGGAGTGAGATTTCAGAGCTGCTTCCTGCTGTTGTAGAAATGGCACTTTAAGAGGGATGACTGAGATCAAACGCAGTGAAGTAATGGGCTATTAAAGCAAGACAATAAACAGAGACTGAAACGCTCCAGAGCTGAGGGGAAATGCAGTGTGATAATTCTCTGGATTTGTCACTGTGAGCGACCAACCCTTTCATATTAAAATATTATTATTGCATCTTTAAACTGGCAGTGCATCTGAGGACACGACAACAGAAGTGTATAATGCATAGCTAGTATGGCAAAGTTGACGTCCTTTTTGTGCCTTAATTGTATTTAATAATACTTGCTGCTCCCACTGAGCGACATTGGGCACTATTTCAATGCAGAAGAGCTCTGAATGAAAGTCAGCAGGTGGCCATCATAGCTCATTTCAACCAATTATACTGATGGGAAGTGCCATTCACGCTGCATCTCTCTACACATCTCTCCTGTCTCTCTCCATCCTCTTTGAAAAGGTTTCCATGTCGTCATCCGTTTATCACACTCTCCGGCCAGATTGATATCTCCTGTCGTGGATGCACAACATGAAAAAGGATGAGATCAGCTGACAACAGAAAGCACGGCGGGTGTTATGGTGGAAGAAATGATGACGGCTTTTATCAGTGAGGGATTGTGTTTGCAGGCCAGATCGTCCAGAGGCATTCCAGGAAGGAGGTACTGCCACTAGTTGTTACTTCTGAGAGGCAAGCGATGCGTTGAAAGCTTAAATCATTGATTGGAGAAGGTGCCACAGCCATGAATGGATTATGTAACAGGACAACTGGAAACTGGCCCGAGGCTAACCCGACTCCCTGGGGATCCTCTGGTCCTGATTTGTGATGATTAGATAGTTTGTTGTTGAAAATCAAATGGCCACAAAGAGACACAAAGCAATTACAGAGAAACACAAAATGACTCCATGAGGAAACACAGCGATTACAAATTTAACCAAAACGACTTACAAATAGCGACACATTTACAAAATGTTACTAAATAGACCAAAATGACTACAAAGACACAAAACAGTTAGAAATAGAGGCTAATTTAATATTATAAGACATACAGCATTATCAAAGAAGGGTACAGATAGACTAACAAGTTGGAAAATTACGAAAAATTAACAAAACGACTTTAAAGTTAAAAATAAGGAATACAAAGACTAACAAAGAAAACAGTAAAAGTAGATTATTACAAATAAATAAATGACCAAAAAGGAAAAAAAAGACTACAAATAGACACAAAACAACTGACTAATGAACACCAAAAGGGACTACAAAATGACAAAAAAAACAACACAACTACTATACAGCAATGAAACGAAGATCCACAACATCAAATCAAATTTTATTTATATAGCACATTTAAAAGCGATTTTTGGTCGAGCCAAAGTGCTGGTAATAAAAACACTTTACTACAATCATAATAAAAGACAATCATTTACAACAGAAATATATAAAATAAAAACACAGGGAATAGTCAGGTGTCATACTCCGCTCTGACTAGAAGAAACCAAAAAGTCCACTATGAGACTCGAAACATCCACATAGATCCACAACGGCAGAAGAGAAACCCTGACCCTCCCCTCGGTCCCCATGGTAACCCTGACCAGCAGCAGCTCCACTGGATATGAATGATTGCTCACTAAACAGGAGGCTTTATTACCTCCCTGGAGTATTTCAAGCCTCATCTTTTCACATAAATCACCAGCTGACAGTGTTTTACTTCAGCGAGGAGCGACTGGCTCTCCAGAGGCTCTCGGTAAATATTTCAACAGGGCTGTGACTCCGCATGTCATTTCAGTG